GCCAGACGACTCCCTCCCCAGATGCCTTACGGAGTTACCAATAGGCCCCCCAATTACAGGGCGCCGTTATGAAGTGAAATAATGCAGCGGCAGAGTTATAATCGTAAAGGCTAGGAGGGAGCGTTGGCCACGAGCAGGCGGCAGCAATGGGGGTGTTTCAGAAACAAGATGAAGAGCCTGCGAGGCAGGGAAAGGAGAAGGCAGTTCCAGATGGCCACCGCCCACTCCCCCTGAGCACAGGGACAGCCCACCGCCCTCTGTTGGTAGCCTCGGGTATGACAGCTTCCAATGGCCTCACCCACACACTGGCATCCATTTCTTTTTCTTTTAAAAAAAAAAAGATATTTTATTGATTTTTTTTACAGAGAGGAAAGGAGAGGGATAGAGAGTGAGAGACATCGATGAGAGAGAAACATCGATCAGCTGCCTCCTGCACACCCCCTACTGGGGGTGTGCCCACAACCAAGGAACATGCCCTTGACCGGAATCGAACCTGGGACCCTTGAGTCCGCAGGCCGACGCTCTATCCACTGAGCCAAACCAGTTAGGGCTATTTCTTTTTTTATTCTCTCCCTCTCTCTCCCTCTCTCTTTCTCTCTCTCTGGTATATACACACATATATACAAATATATACACAAATATACAGTATATTTGTACTAATTTCAGAGAGGAAGGGAGATGGAGAGAGAGATAGAAACATCAATGATGAGAGAGAATCATGGATGGGCTGCCTCTTGCACGCCCCCCACTGGGGATGGAGCCCACAACCCCGGGCATGTGCCCTCACCAGGAATCGAACCGTGACCTCCTGGTTTATAGGTTGACGCTCAACCTCTGAGCCACACCAGCTGGGCTAGCATCCATCTCTTAAGATATAGCTCTTAAGGCAGCGGTTCTCAACCTGTGGGTCGCGACCCCTTTGGCGGTTGAACGACCCTTTCACAGGGGTCGCCTAAGACCATCCTGCATATCAGATATTTACATTACGATCCGTAACAGTAGCAACATTACAGTTATGAAGTAGCAACGAAAATAATTTTATGGTTGGGTCACAACATGAGGAACTGTATTTAAAGGGCCAGAAGGTTGAGAACCACTGGATTAAGGTCTAGTGTTATCATGAGATGACTGTATAGTTATAGAGGAACACAAAGAAAATAAGCTTTTTAAGAAATTCAATTTATTATCTTCTTTTTTCCCCCCCGGTGTTTGGAGAACCCAAATGTTGCCTTCCTGAATTTTGTTTGATGGGGATACATGCTCGTCCACGTAGTATTTAATGAATATTCATTCTGATGAGAGTTGCTGGCAAAGGCTGGAATGAGTTTATCAGATAGTGAGTTGTTGGATGGATAAGATTTTGTTTTTCATCACGGTCCCCACCCCGTCAAAATAAGGCGCGAAAGAAAAAAGCCCGAAGGGCCCTAGGCAATAGACGTATATAAAGAACGCTGTCTGTGTTTCTGTAATTTGTCACTTAGGCCTTTCTGCCGAACCCGATACAAATACACTGCCTTTGACATATTCCCTTCCACGTGTAGACGTTATTTTACGATGGGAATAAATTTATTCTTTATTATAGTCACTAAGCATGAGTGATTCACTTCCCCGCTTGATCTACGAGCGTCTTTAAATGTCGCCTTCACTGACGGCTTCATTCTTCCATCCTACGTACCCAAGGCTGGGTGCTGAGCCGGCTTTGGGGCTGGGTGGTGATTGGAAGTAGATATGGTTTCTGTCCTGGTGGTTTTATAAAAAAAATATATATATTTTTTATTGATTTCAGGGTGGAAGGGAGAGAGAGAGATAGAAACATCAATGATGAGAGAGAATCATTGACAAGCTGCCTCCTGCACGCCCCACACTGGGGATCCAGCCCACTGCCCTGGCATGTGCCCTGACTGGGAATCCAACCCGTGACCTCCTGGTTCATAGATCGAAGCTCAACCACTGAGCCACACTGGCCGGGCTAACTTCCCATTCTTTAGGGCCGTGGTCGGCAAACTGCGGCTCGCGAGCCACATGCGGCTCTTTGGCCCCTTGAGTGTGGCTCTTCCTAAGCCTTAGGAGTACCCTAATGAAGTTAATAACAATGTACCTACCTGTATAGTTTAAGTTTAAAAAATTTGGCTCTCAAAAGAAATTTCAATCGTGGTACTGTTGATATTTGGCTCTGTTGACTAATGAGTTTGCCGACCACTGCTTAGGGGACCAAGCTCATTGTTCTTTCGTGCATGATGCGTGTTATGGAAATTGTGACGTTACTCAACAGCTAACTTATTTCGTTTTCTCCACCAAGTGATGAATTCAGCACACCTCTCTAATGAATGCAGAGGCGGAAGGTTTGGCCACATAAAAGCTTATCGCCTCCCTAGGAAAGTCTTAAACATTTGTCTAATGTTGACCAAGAAAATTATTTCTCATCATTTGTGTTATTTAATTCTAATGTTAAGCCCTGCCAGCATAGCTCAGTGGTTGAGCATCGACCTATGAACCAGGAGGTCACAGGTTTCATTCCCGGTCAAGGGCACATGCCCGGGTTGCGGCCTCGATCCCCAGTAGGGGGCTTGCAGGAGGCAGCTGATCCATGATTCTCTCTCATCATTGATGTTGTTTTTTTCTCTCTCTCCCTCTCCCTTCCTCTCTGAAATCAATAAAAATATAACTAAAAAAAAAAAGATTCTAATTTTATCAACAAACACTCTACTAAATGTAGGAAGCCCACCCTAGCAAAGTCCTCTGACCTTTAAACCATCTAATCCTATCAGTGGGGCTGTTCAAATAAGCCTCGTGATTCCAGCATCCTTGGGAGTTTGCAGAACCGCTCTCTTGGGAAGAGCCAGGATGTGGTTGTGTTTATCACGGAGCAGAGATGACCTCCCCTGGGGCCCGGCTTGGCTTCCCGAGGAGGGATTATTCCGTAAAACCCGTTTCCCATGCAAATGCCGTGCGTCTCCCTTTGTGGACTCGGTGGCCGGAAGGTCCAGACGCAGGGCTTTGGGAGGCTTGTCAAACCATTTCCTTTTTCACGTCTTTATTTTTAAAAGCCTCCCCGGGGCTTGGATTCATTTTAGGCGACGGCAGGCGTAAGCAAAGGAGAAGAAAGAGAGCCGGTGTCATTACATGGATGGATCGGAGACTTAAGTTTCTTTCTTTTTTTTTTTTAATGAACGCTCTCTCTTGATTTCAAAATATTATAAGAAAGACTATCTTTCCCAGGCCCACTTCGTCTTTAACACCTCGTTTATGTCACCGATGGTGTATTTTTTTTTTTTTTTTTGACAAGAGTGATTTAAAAATTACCCATATTTCAGACCTGGGAAGCTGAGATCATTTTCTTGCTTTGGTGTTTAAAGGTGTGTTTTTTTAAATAGCACATTTTAGCTCCATTATATTATTTTCCTAGAGTAATAGCCACCAATTTTCTCATTAACTCCCATATGGTGTTGCCTCGCGGAATCATGGATTCTTTAAATTAGGGGGGGAAAAAGTAGTCTTCTTAATCAAACTTTTATATTAAAAGTGCATGGCACGTAATAATGGTATAATATGGGCAATGATACTACGATAAATAATGAAAAGTAGATTAAAGTATATTCTCAATTATGCAGCGCGCGTATGAATACTTACACATGATTAAAACATGCATATCTAATATTACCATCGCGATCTAGTTGGCTGGCATCATTTTAATAAGACATTGGTGTAGCCCAGTCTACAGGTGTCTTTGAACTACTGTGGACTTGTATATGGGTCAACAAATATCTCACCTGTGAGATATTGGGGGGGGGGCTATGACATTTTTCAAATAGTCTCTCTCCTTCATCTCTGCATCTCGAAGTAGAGGAAAGTTTTATTTTTTAAAAAAATATTTTTATTAATTTTAGAGAGAAGAAGGGAGAGGGAGAGAGAATTAGAAACATCCATGATGAGAGAGAATCATGGATCGGCTGCCTCCTGCACACCCCCTACTGGGGATCGAACCCACATGTGCCCTGACTGGGAATTGAACCCTGACCTCCTGGTTCTTAGGTCGAAGCTCAACCACTGAGCCACGCTGGCTGGGCTCATCCAGCCTCTTTGACCTGCTCTGCAATCTTCAGAATCTGGGGTGAAACACAGACCAGAGGCATTTGTAGTCTACACGCCTGTCGTCGCTGCAGAGACTGTAAAAACAGTTTGGAAGGAAAACCACCCCATAGCCATCTTCCACCCTAAGGAACCAGCCTCGCTTCCCAACCTGTGGGAGTTTCAGAAACAGTGGAGTGTGTCCTGGGGCCGGGCCTGTTTCCAAAAGTTGCCCGGCTGGCGTGGCTTAGTGGTTGAGCGTGGACCTGTGAACCTGGAGGTCACAGTTCGATTCCCGGTCGGGAGTGTGTCCTGGGGCCAGGCCTGTTTCCAAAAGTTGCCCGGCTGGCGTGGCTCAGTGGCTGAGCGTGGACCTGTGAACCTGGAGGTCACGGTTCGATTCCCGGTCAAGGGCACAGGGCCGGGTTGTGGGCTCTATCCCCAGTAGGGGGTATGCAGGAGGCAGCTGCTGATCCATGATTCTCTCTCATCATTGATGTCTCTCCCGCGCCCCCCCCCTTCTTCTCTGAAATCAATAAAAAAATATATACTTAGAAGAAAAAAGTGCTCACTGCACTCCCTCTGCCTCGGGGTCCCCCCTCCCCCCCTCATCCTTCAGAGTCCCCTGGACTCCAGGATAAATGGAGAGTCCTGGTGGGGAAGGAGCCGCAGGAAAAGGAGGCGCTCCGTGTGGGGGCCTCGGTGGAAGGTGGGAGGCAAGAGGGGGAGGGGACTCCTGCGACCCATCTGCGAGACGGACAGGCCACTCGGTGCCATCTCTGCGTTTCCGCCTCTGCGGTGGCCGGCGGTAGCGTCGGCAGGATGCCTGCCCCCTGGTTCATCGCGAGGCCAGTAGGAGGCAGCCACGCGTGTGGGCTGTGGGATTCCGTGGTCTGGGCACTGACGTCTCCCCTTTCTCTCTCTCTCCCCAGGGCAGCCGCGGAGGTTCTGGCGGCCTTGCTGAAATCCAGTAAGCACCTCCCCTGAAAGGGGGCTCTCCCTCTCCCACTTCGAGTTCAGGGCAAGGTGCCCTTCTGTCTGCGTGGTGGCTCGTTTCCCCCCTAGAGGGCAACAGGGCCATTCCTGGGGGTCTTCGGGGTGCGATGGAGAATGTTAGGGCCCTTCCAAGCTCACGGCTGTGGAGAAAGAGCTGACCTCCCTCCCCCGGGGTGTGCCTGTACATGATGCCAGTAGGGTGGTTGGTTCTAAAGGGAGAGCATTGTCTGTGGGGACCTGCAGACCTCTTAGCTGCCCGTGAGGACTGTTGGGACAGACTCCAGTCCCAGTGGGATTGTCCTGGAGAAGAAAAGGTTCTGACAGTGGGGGAGAAGCAGGATTCTTTTTTAAAAATTATTATTATATCTTTACTAGAGGCCCGGTGCACGAAATTCGTGCACTCAGGGAGGGGAGGTTCCCTCCGCCCAGCCTGCGCCCACGCTCTGCAGGCCTAAGCCATCACTAGGACATCCTTAGTGCTGCTGCGGAGGCAGGAGAGGCTCCCACCAGCCCCGCTGCGCTCACCAGCCATGAGCCCGGCTTCTGGCTGAGCGGCGCTCCCCCCTGTGGGAGCACACTGACCACCAGGGGCCAGCTCCTGCATGGAGCGTCTGCCCCCTGGTGGTCAGTGAGCATCATAGCCACTGGTCGTTCTGCCGTTTGGTCGATTTGCATATTAGCCTTTTATTATATAGGATTGGTTTCCAAGAGGAAGAGAGAGAGGGAGAGAGAGAGAGAAACATCAATGATGAGAGAGAACATGTGATCGGCTGCCTCCCGCAGGCCTGCTACTGGGGATGGAGCCCGCAACTGGGACATGTACCCTGACGGGGAATCGAACCGAGACCTCCTGGTTCATAGGTCGACGCTCAACCAGGGAGCCACGCCGGTGGCCGGCATAAGCAGGATTCTTGTATTTGGTTCCCAACCCGGGTGTGTGTTCTTGGGCAGGTGGGGCGGGCGGTCAGGAATTGCTCGGACAGTGTAGATGCCGATAACAAATCGATAGGAAGAGGTTGGGTCTGTTCGCAGTTACTCGAGTCACCTCAAAGAGTAGCTCGGGGTCGTGATGGCGTCTGAATAATTTGAGGATCGTTTTTCTCGCCGGGGGTCCCGCGTCTAATTGTGCTGGGAGCCGGCTCCACGTGTGCGGTGTGATAGACGGCGCCGTGCACTTGGGAGCGAAGCCGCCTCGCGGAGCGGTTTTATCTCCCCCTCCTCACCTCTTCATCTATTTTAATTTGGCAGCTTGGAAACCAGCTGCTGCGATTGTAATATTTGTTTCTCTGTAGGGAGCTCAGGGCCTGTGGGTAAGAAGTGAACTTTAATAAAACTTATAAATAAATAAAAATACAAGCACCTCCCCCCTCCCCCAAAACATACATCTCTGTCAGCTCTGAGCCCAGAGAAAGCCACGCAACACACAGCGCTTCTGTAACCGGACAGTCCATGGGTGCCGGCTGCCTCTCACCCATTGAGCCCATTCAGCAGAGACAGGGTGGAATCCTACTTGAGCGTTGATTCCAGTCCTGCCAGGAGCGTGGGGGAGCAGCAGGGCACCCACAAACATCTGCTCTGCCCCCCACCGTAAGCCAGCTGCTGATAGTGGGTAGAAGGACAAAGATTACATGGGAAGTTGGCAGAAGGGTGATGCCAAATAGGCAGTTTATAGTTAAGCAGGCTGGAGATTTGCAAAGGCCTGTGGGTGTGCAAAGGCTGGGGGTTTGCAAAGGCCTGTGCTTTTGCAAAGTCTGGGGGTTTGCAAAGGCCTGTGGGTGTGCAAAGGCTGGGGGTCTTCAAAGGGCCTGTGTTTTGAGGGGTCCGGAAAAAGGGGAAAATCCCTTTGACATTCCAAGGATATGTCACCGTAGAGGCAAAGAGACAAGAGGCTCCGTTAAGGCAAAGATGGACCTTTGCCAGGGAAGACACCGGCCTGGGGCATGGCTACCCAGCATACACTGCTTTCAGTTACAATTTCAAGTTCAGACCGTCCTCCGTGGTGACTTGAGGTCTGTGAGTTTGCAAAGGCCGCCGCCCAGGCCTCCCCCGAGCTCGCCAGGTTGGCACGTGGGTCTTTCCGTCCACAGCAGTTTTAGAGGCGCCTGGAAGTTTGCAGA